ACCACACGGGACAGCTCACAACAACTTCATTGCAATACAGTTGTTTTAGTGGATTCAAGAGGGAACCAAAGTCCACTCCTTCTAGGGATGTGTGCTTTTCTCTGAGCATTTGATATATTGGCAGAGAAGCCAGTCGGGGTGAACTTGTGGGATTATGATTGATGCCTCTTAAGTCAGAACCCTCTTGGTCCAATGTAAGAGTGTCACAGCATCTTGGAGGCTTGGTTGTCCTCAGATACCTGGACTTTGTGGTACACAAGTGTTGTCCTTGTGTGTGGCAGAAAATGAACTTCCTGTTGCATATAGTGTAGGGTAACGTTTGTGTCATAGAGAATGAAACACTAAATAAACTGCAGACAGCCTGATTATGTTGCCTTGTGGTATTGATGTACTGTGGTATGCATGAGAGAGGGGTGAGGGAGCGAAGGAGGGGCACAGTTCCCTTTTTCAGGGCTGGGGGAAAGCGCTCTGCCTGAGGACAGCTGCTGCCAATCAGAGTAGACAGTAGTACAGGGCCAGATTAACCAGTGGTATTATTTGATATAAATAAGTTTCATATGGTCAAATTGGCATTTAACCCAGACCCAACAGGAAGCTGTTGAGTGAAACTTCAAAAGTATTCTAGGCAAGGTAACGAGTTGTTAAAGGCTAACTTGTATTTATTTATTTAGGTGGTGCACCCCCTCCAACGGTTAGCCAGGCTGCTCCTGTGACTCTTCCTGGAAATCTTCCTTCTAGCAGTCCATACACAATGCCCCCAGAGCCTACTCTGTCTCAAAATCCTCTCTCCATCATGATGTCCCGGATGTCCAAGTTTGCAATGCCCAGTTCTACTCCACTCTACCATGATGCTATCAAGACTGTAGCTTCCTCAGATGATGACTCTCCTCCAGCACGTTCCCCAAACCTGCCACCTATGAACAATCTTTCGGGTAAGAAACAAATGCTGTATAGGTGTGCTGTGGCTGGTAGCATGTGGTTTGGAGAATATCATAGGGAGAAGCTAATGAAATTGCAACTTGCATGTGGCAAAACAGTGACACACTGAAATAGCCTCACTGAAATTGAGTTGTCAGGAACTACTCACCTAGGATGGACAGCTTAAGGTGGGGGCAGCAAACAGCCTGTGTAACTTAACCCAAGTGTTTGGCAGGAGGCTGCTGATGTAGGCAGTTACATAAATTATCATACCCTTCTCTCTTTTTTCAGTTTTAACTTTCCAACAGTAGTTATCCACATTGAAAATGGAGCATTTTGACTTGCAAGTATAGCACAAACTATTACACCAAGTGTAATTTGTGAAAAAAGACTAGGGATTATGTCTCTGTGTGTCTCAAGTGATCACGTTTTATCATAGCTTACATGAGAGCTACTTACCAGTCTAAGAATCATTCTGATATTGATGTAGTGTGTTCTGTGATTTGCTTGTGGCTGTTTCAGTTGGGTCTTTCTTAGAACCCAGAAACAAGTTCTACCCAAGGAAGTGAGAAATGATGTCAGATTTTGTTTGACTCCAATTGGATTAAGAGGAGTTTTAAAAGCTGTTGAGTTTATGTCAAGCTGACTTAGAAGAGTGACAACTTCTCTTCGTCACAGAAAGGCGCTGAGTCTTAGATTAAGTGTGTCCAGGTTCTTGATTCAGGTTCCAGGATGGTTAGACTTTAGGTGGTAGTACTTCTATTTTGAAAAGGCACACCTTTGCTCTTTTAACCAACCTGATGGAAATAGTGAGATAAATCGGTTCAAGTGACTAGAATCCTACAACAGTAAAATGTAGTGAGATGGTTGTGGAAGATTTGGAGCTTAGCTGTGCCAAGCAACTCCAGAATGACACACTCTGCCTCTGTTCTGGACCCCCTCTTTTTGTAGGCAATGTTATTCCTGGAGACCTTTCCTATAACTGCCTTCTCCTTTAGTGGCTTCTTGAAGAAGGATTTGGAGTAAACTTGCATCATTTTCCCTTCTAGAGAAGGGTTAAATTCCATTGTTCTGCTGTTGTATCAGTCACCTATGGAATACCTCAAGGAAAAGACCAAATTGTTACCACCCCCATTCTTTTTAAGCTTGCGTAATACTTCTGATTCACCCTGGTGAAAATGGTGGATGTTTTCTAGGGCATACTTGGGGCTTCCCTTGTCCTCTGTGAACCCTTAATCATGCCTTATTACAGTGTGACCGGGTTGCCTTGGCAGAGAAGTCAACAATGGAAAGGGTTCCCTCATTTCAGCAATTGTTGTTACCTTCACCAGCATGAAACCTCCCCTTTGACATTTGTCTTTGTATTGAGAGATTCCAGTATGTGCAACGGTCTCTGATCGAAAATATGTCAGCATTTGGGACAACCTCTTTGTGTTGGTGTGCTTTTGACGTGGTCCTTATTTTATGCGAGGCTGTAGTATAGCAAGGAGATATTTAGCTATCCATAGATTACTCATTTCCACATTAGAAGTCACGTATGCAGTACTTGCCATTCCTGAAAGCTTTTTGTATTATCACCTACTTGCTCTAATCTTAACCTTTTCCCCCTCCCATTCTCTCTAGGAATGGGCATTAACCCCCAGAATCCTCGCAGTTCAGGTCCCAACCAGGTGGGCCCGATGCCAACTCTTAGCCCAATGGGAATGACGCAGCCTCTAACTCACAGTAACCAGATGCCCTCTCCAAATGCTATGGGACCCAGTATACCTCCTCATGGGGTCCCTGGCCTGATGTCACACAATCCAATGATGGGTCATGGTTCCCAGGATCCCCCAATGGTACCTCAAGGACGCCTGGGCTTCCCACAGGGCTTTCCTCCAGTACAGTCCCCTCCCCAGCAGGTGCCATTTCCACATAATGGACCGAGTGGAGGACAAGGCAACTTCCCAGCTGGAATGAGCTTCCACGGTGAGGGACCTCTGGGACGTCCCACCAGCATGCCCCAAAGTTCAACGGATCCCGCACTTTGCAAGTCTGGAGGTCCCGGAGGACCCGATTCTTTCACTGTCCTAGGAAACAACATGCCTTCAGTTTTTACCGATCCGGAGCTGCAGGAAGTGATTCGCCCTGGAGCTACTGGAATACCAGAATTCGACCTGTCCAGGATTATTCCATCAGAGAAGCCTAGCCAGACACTACAGTATTTCCCTCGTGGGGAAGTACCGGGCCGCAAGCAGCCACAGGGTGTTGGGCCTGGGTTTTCTCACATGCAGGGAATGATGGCAGAACAGAATCCGAGAATGGGGCTGGCGTTAGCTGGCATGGGGGGCACCTGATATTTCTCTTGGAGGAGCGTCATCCATGCCAGGTCACAACCCAATGAGACCTCCTGCCTTCCTGCAACAAGGCATGATGGGACCTCACCATCGGATGATGTCACCAGCACAACCAACCATGCCTGGCCAGCCCACTCTAATGAGCAACCCAGTAGGCATGATTCCAGGCAAGGACCGCGCTCCTACTGGGCTCTACAGCCATCCGGGACCTGTGGGTTCACCTGGTATGATGATGTCAATGCAGGGCATGATAGGACCCCAACAGAACATCATGATTCCTCCACAGATGAGACCCCGGGGAATGGCTGCTGATGTAGGAATGGGAGGATTTAGCCAAGGCCCTGGAAATCCAGGGAACATGATGTTTTAAGCTGCTACATAAGACTGGATGGTTCGATCCTTGTTGAGATGAGATTCCAGGTCCTGAGGGCTGCCTGAGAGCTCCAGGAGCACAGTTTGGCCATGCAATAGGTAAAAAAACAGACCAGAGGATGCTTTGGGAAATCTCGAATGTATGGAATTACCTGAAAACAAATGAATTCATTTTAACAGGTTGTTTTTTTAAAATTTATTTTTTAAAAATTATTTTTGTGTACTTGGATATCCTGTGATGGCACCTGCTTTGAGAATCTGTAGCTGTATTTTGAGAATTGCCATTTGTCACAAGTTGCACCATTCTCTCTGTATGTTTACGTCCTTTGGACTGGCTTCTCCCAGGACTCTTGGTTATTTTGGGGGGGGTTATTTTTGTGTACTGTACTATATTGTAAAAGGGATTTTAGCAGAGACTTTAGTCTTTGGGGTGAGAGGCTGTTTACTTTTAGGTGGAAAATCCATCTTCAGAACTTTGGACTATTTTCCTTCAACTCCAATGTATAGAAAAACCAAACTACGACCTCAGAGCAGAGTATTAATGAAAAGCACAAAAGGAACTTAAGTTCAGTGAGGGGGAATCTTAAAAAAAAAATAAGTTAAGGACATATTTTTCAAATTATGGAGTGCTGTCGAGCACCTTTGTCTCTCCCTCCCACTCTTAAAAAAAAAAGGCATCTTGCCCCCCCTCCCTTTACTGTCTCCTCCTCTGGCAGCTGCAATACATTGTATTATTTTTGGGGAGTATATGTAGGAGAGCCCCTTCTCATTCTGAGAGTGTTGCTACTTTCAGGAGGAGGCTGGACTTTGACACTGTTACATTCTACAGTAGTCTTACTGTTTCGTTCTCCTTTTCTTAGGAACCCCCCCCCCCGTGACTTTATTAATGTGGGAGTGGAACAGACACTAAAAGTTATCCTGACCTTTTTTGTGGCTATCTTTTTTTTTGTTCCCCAGCGTAAAACGTTCTCTGTGTAACCTCCATTAAATTTGGTACAAAACCACTTGCCAGGGCTGTGGTGTCAGAAAAATAAAATATATTGTTTCTTACAAAAGCTATTCTTTCCTCCTTTGCTACAGTCTAGCTTGCTTCTAAATATGCCTGTTTGTATCGGGTTTAAAGTGCTTGCCGTATATGTGCGTTTCAGATCGCATCCTCCTGATAAGGTTTTTATGTTGCACACCAGGTAGGCCGCTTCTTAAACCCCTTTCACCCTCTATCTTGGTGTAGAAGGGCATGGCTGTGCTACCGGTCTCACCTTTGTCATGGGGGCAGGTTAGCCTTAACATGGGCACACAGGTGAAGATCCCCTAGCAGTGAGCAGCTGCTCAGGAACAGAGATATCCACTCTAGTCAGGCAACCAGAAAATGAATTAAGTTGTAAAATGTTTACCTTCAGTAATCCAAAATAAGTTTCAGATGAAGATCTCCAACTCCAAAGCCTGAGTACTGATCAAGCTGTAGGTAGTAACTCCCATTTCCTCGGAATCAGTTGTAATACAATCATAGTATCAACTGAATATTTGAACAGCCATGAGTTTGGTATCTGTTTACATTCATTAGGAAAGGGCCAGTGAGCTAGCACCTTTGTATATAAAAACCTTGAGACTTCTTACCTCTTTATTTTCAAGTCTGTTTCAACAACTAACCTCACCTACCCCAGTATTCCTTTGGAAGATCCATATTTGTGATGTGTCAAGTTTTCTCCAGCTACACAAAACAGGTTCTTCCAGGTTTCATTTCCCTTTTACTACAGGGAGCAAACTATTACTAACCCTATGTTTCAGGTACAGAGGTTGCTGTAGCATTCGCACTGCTTCGGGTCGTCAATTTGTATTCCCTATAACCCACAGGGCACAACACCAATCTGATTCAACATGCTTCTGTTACAACAAGTAACAGCCATTTTGAATACCCAGTGACTATCCACCTGTCTTGTCTTTGGGTTGGTTATATTAACATTGCTGCCTGCTTTTAGCATTCAGTCTGACAAAGTGCTTGTATCCAATTACATCTTTCCAGGCTTCTATCGGCCCACTTCCATGTTTTTGCATTTTAGCTAACTGTAGCATTTCCACAACAGTTCACCTCTGGCCTACCTAGCCGTATCAAGCAACACTTCGGTTATAAAGTGAATATGGCAATAATTATAATAAAGTGGTTGGTTGAAGGTTCCAAGGAAAGAGACTTTGCCCTGCTAATGGCTGTAGCTTCTGACAGCAGCAAGGCTATATATAGGTGTCCTGGAATGAAAGTTAAGCTCCAGTAAAATGCCTTAATTGAGAATTTTGAAAGACTAGTTTAGTGGTTCAGTTTAGCTGCTAAAGGACCACAGGGAACTTAAAACAAAGAGTAGCACTAGCTTCAGCACATTGAATGTCTTAGTGGAGCTCAAAAGCAAATGTAGCAGTAGGTGCAGAGTGGTTGGTGTCCAATTAATGTTCTCTTACTGATAGGCAATTTTCAGGAACCCCCCGTTTCCGGGTTGGGATCTTTTGGAGCAGCTTTGGCTAGGGGCAGGGATTATTTAAAATTGCCTTGCCTCCCCTTTTCACTGGTGTATGCCTTCTGTCAGCAGAGGGCCATCACTTGGCTGCCATCTGCAAGATTCCATTAATTTGAAAAACTGGGTTACAGTAACAACTTTTTGGATATTAAGCCACCACCAACTCTTATCGCAGCCAGGGACCCAATTTCCAAAATGTAGCAGCAGCATTCATCCCTGTTATACTTTACATTACTTGAACTGTCCTGTTACCAGAGTTAAACCACAAGTGAATGACACTTTTCTTTATGGCGTTTGAAAAGACAAATGTTGTGAATAATGTTTTAGTATTACTAATCATTTATCTGTTTTACACCTCTTCTCACTGAGAGCAAAGCATTTTATATTCCTCTGGATTAGCACTGTAAGTTGAAAGGGCATTTAGAAAATCCTCCAGCGGACAGAGACCAGCTCTGCATCCTCTTGGAACCAGCTCCTGCAGAAAGACAAGACAAATCAACATTTACGTCACAAAAAAGCTGCCATTACAAGAGGCCCTTGGGCAAACAAAAATATCTTGTGCACTTTGTGGTCCTCCAGATTTAGACTCCTAATAGTACCAGTCAGTGGTCAGAAATGATGGGATTTGTAGTCAAGTAACAACTAGAGGGCCAGAGTCCTGATATCCTGACATACAGCATCACTACTGCCAGCCTTGCAAAGAGAAGAGAGTTGCTTTAAAAGTTACCAAAAGTTAGCTTGAAACAGGTATACGATCCCCGCATTCCAGATTCAGTGATTTATCTGTTAAACAGCCTTTGTATTTAGATGTTGTGCAAGCTAGAGTATGGAATTTGCCTCCTGCCCAAATCTCACTTGAGGTCCCATTTATATGTGTAACATCATCACCATGGAGTCTCCTACCTCTCCATTGTAGAGCAGCCGTATAAACCAGTCCTTGGAACGCTGGTAAAGTTCTATTGTCATGTCTGCTGCGTATGGAGGCCACTTGGAATCAAAGACCCCCAGAGCCAGTAGCAGTGGGAAGAGGGTAACATCATGAATAGCATACAGAGCAAGCTTTCTAAAATAAAAGAAGTGACCAATAATTCAGTCTTGCTGATGACATACATTGTGTATAGCAGCCATTGCAGCTGCATTTTCCATTTACACTGAATCTCAAGTCAGTTGGTAGATGTAATAAGCTAAATTGAGAATTATCAGGGTAATAGCATTCCTTCCTCTGCTTTTTTTTCTGTCTTCCACATGCGAGCACCTAGTTTGTATTTGTTTATATGAAACTGCTTTTGTGAGCCAAGTTCTACATAACTCCCGTTTAAAGTTAGGATATTTACAAGTCACCTTTACCCAGTTAAAAATATATACACAAATCTTAAATGGTGCAATTGTCACTGTTCCATCAACTCCTGCTGCCCTTGATTTGTCCCATTTCCCCTTTTAATGTTTTTAGCTTGTAGATGCTGCTCAATGGGATGTTCTGCCAAGACCGTAAATACCAATAATCTACATACCTGGCCTTGATTTCAGGAGAGGAAGGGTTCATTGCCGCCTTAATGTTCTTCTCTATTATATTGAGTAGAGGACCAACTGACATCTTGAGAGTCTCTCTAGTCAGAAATATAACAAAACAGATCAATTTTTAAAAAAATGTTTCTAACAAGAGTTGCAACATCTTTTAACAGTTCTAGATAACTGGCAGAACTTAATTGGAACAGGAGCAGGTTTAAAAGTAAAGGTTCCTGGCTAGCAGGGACACACATGACTTGTCTGTACAAGAAGTCCATGTTTTAAAACAGAAGAGTGCTCCTGTGTTTTGTCTTGCAGATACCCCAGGCTTACCACCCATACCATCCCTGGGACTGCTCACCTTAAATTCAATTTTGTGACATAAAGGAGTGAGTCTATAGCCCTCTGTTCGATCAGTTCCATGAAACTCTTCAGAATAGGGCAACTAGGCAGATTGTGTGCCTAAAAGACAGCATAGTGTGAATTAAAATAAACTCTAAGGCTGCAGTGACAAATGGCACCACTACTTTAGATCAGGCATGGACACACATGTGCTTATCGTTAGATATCATAACATGGACATGCACTTGAACAAGTTGTGTTAGACAAGGAACTAGGCCATTCCTCTAAAGACGAAGAACAATGTGAACAGATAGATATATGAATAGTTATATTACTGTTACAATAAGCAAGTGAGTGATTCCCTTTAAAAACAACAACAAGCCTTTAGTTTTAACTTGGACAACCTGAAAACATCTTCATGTAGTGGACAGATTTCAGTTCAAGAGATATGAATGGTCCCATTCATATGGCTTGATTACCATTTCCTCCCATGTCTTATGTTACCTACTACAATGCTGGCTGCCACAGTCAGGCAACGTAATTACCTGAAGTGGCACAATATTCATTTTGTTTGTTTATTTAACAAATTTATATACTGCTTACTTCAAAGAGAAAGACCCAAGCAGTTTACAAAAGCAATATAAAAACCAAACAGCAAGTTACCATATATACTCGTGTATAAGCCGACCTTTTCAGCACATTTTTTATGCTGAAAAAGCTCTCCTTGGCTTATACTCGAGTGAGGGTCCCCTTTGCCACTGTCAGAGACGGCGGCGGAGGAGGAATGAGCAGCCTGAAAGCAGCCCTTTCTGGCTGCTCCTTCCTCCTCCGCCTTTGCCACTGTCGGTTTTCTGCTTCTTTGCCTGTTAGTCACCATCTACATGCACACGCACTCCGGCCCACCAGGAGGTTTGTGGTGTGGTGAACTGGCTTATACTCGAGCCAATAAGTTTTCCCAGTTTTTTGTGGTAAAATTAGGTGCCTCGGCTTATATTTGGGTGGGCTTATACTTGAGTACATATGGTACATTAAAAAATTAAAATATAAAACCAGTAATTTTAAAACAATTGCATAATGGGTCAGTGCATCTGGCTGTGAACCAGAAGGTTGGTGGACAGCGGTGGGCAGGGTTCCTGCGTTGCAGGGGTTGGAGCTGATGACCCCCAGGACCCATTCCAACCATAGAATTCTAGGAGACTGGATCAGAAGGACAACAGCAGGAGAGGGGAAAATTTACAATGAGGAACCTGGGTTTCATATCATTCCATTTCCTACAAGTTTTAAGTCTTCAGTTCAGTGAGGCGTATTGTACAAAAATGGCTTTCAAACTCGGCTGCAGGAAGCCCTGGGGTGGTTAGAAGCATCTTGGAGAAAGAAGCTCCATAACGACGGTGCACGGCTTTTTCAGACAAATCCATAAAGAAAGGGAGCCCTGAACGTTGAAAGCACACATTTTTATTGCTGTTAAAGGCTTTGCTTTTACTGATTGGTAATTATACTGGTTTACCCAGCTAGAGCATTATTTTTCCTATTACAACATTTCTAGCCTACTCTATATCTATTGATCTCAGGATAAGATATAACAACAAAACAATCCTTGGCCACTTAAAAGCCTAAGCATCCGTAATAGTCACGTTCAGCATACAGTATTCAGTATTCCCTCTGCTGTAACTGATGTAACCCCTTAAAATGTCTTGGCACGCAAGCTTTTCCCACATCCAGTTTAATCTTTAGTGCCAAACCTGAGAGAAAGTGGAGTAGCAGGCCTTTGCCAATATCCCACCTTGGACTACTTAGAGTCTGGCTAGGTCCAACCAGGGATGTGTTATCTGTTCATATGATGAACTGAGGATCAATCTAATATTGGGAGCACAGATACACCCTAAGGAGGGAATTACAGAATTGGGCCCAACCCCTGATATGCTAACTGCTTCATGTAACCTACTTCTGTGTCATCAGGTCCTAGGTAAGATCTATTAACAGAAATTCAGTCGATTAAATAATTACACAATCTACTTTGGAGATTTTCATAAGCAACAACAGCAAGAAAGAGCTTATCTATTTTGCTGGTGTAAAAGGCAACAAATTTTTTTTGGATGGAGAGAAAGATAAAAAGGAAATGTTAAACAATTAAGCCAAAAGACAAAAAATGTGACGTTTGAGGAGGGAGTTGAAGAAAGACACATAGTTTCCTCTCTTGCCAGAACTGTCTTGGCTATTTTCCGATTTGCAACAAGAGCGACTCTGCTGAATAGTTGCTAGCACAGAAATGGTGAACACGTGGCCTTCCATACATTGCTTGACTACAACTCCCATCATCCCTGGGCATGGGGTATTCTGGCTTGGGCTAATGGGAGCTGGAGCCCGTCAGCACCTGGGGGCCACACTGCTCTACTTCAGCACAGCTTCTCCCACAGACCTGCATGAATCAACTTGGATGGCTAAAGAAAACAGGCTTGTTCCTACAAAGGCACAGCATACCTGTTCCGCAAAAATGTTGTCAAAAAGGAGAAAGAAGTCCGCCCCATTCTTGCTGTCAAGGCCCATCTTCTCTTTAATGGTCTTCAGATCCTCCGCAATTCCTGGCTGCAGAAGCAGCACATTGGCCAGCCTCTCTCTGTCAAGGAAAACGAAAGCTTCAGAATAATGCATAAATGGTAATCTGCACAAGCTACTGTGCTTGGATCCCCCTGCTTGTTAGAAGGGGAAAAGGAGTGCAGGGCTGTTTGGCTTAAAATGATTGCTTGAGCAATAGACAACTAAATGCATCAGAATTTGTTACAAAAAAGCAAGAGGTCTTAACCATGTGAAAGTAATTTTTCCTTAGTTGACTCAGATCTTCAGGGCAAATAACTAAATAGCTCTTGCCTCACTAGGGCAGATCTTAATGACCAATGGCGCCCCAGATGTTGCTGGACCCCACCTCCCATCAGCCAGCATGGCCAGGAGTGATGGAATTTGAGAGCCCAGCAATATCTGGAAGGGACCACAGGTTAGCTGCAACATTGTGCAAGAGTAGCCTATGGCCAGGGGCACCAAGTGGGGGGGGCAGGGCCACGGGGCATGCTTACATCATGTGTGCATGCCACACTGATGTTGCATGGCCCCAGGCCCCTTCAATTGAAGGGACAAGGTGACATGCTTGCCTACAGCCACCTTTGAAAATTCCTAATTTTGCCACAGCTTCCCTGAAAAGGGAACTGTTACCGATGCAGTTCTTAAAAGAGAAGCAGAATTGCATATGGGGTTGTCTTAGAATATAGTGATTATAATAGCATCGTATTGGCTCTGCTAGGAGTTAGGAAATTGGCGTTCACTCTCTGTCCCATGGGCTTTTGACACAAGCGTGATCATACTTGCTTTTATTTGAGCTGACTGGGCACCAGTTATGCAGTTCACCGAATCACTAGAATTGTCAAGCAGCATATTAGAGAGCCCTTTCCCATCACAATCCCAGAGGAGCCCACAGCAAGCACATTAGCCGCTCCACAAAATGCAACCGGTCGCTACAGTATAAGTTTGGGGAAACAAATGCTATCATCTGAGCCGTTTAAATAGTCAAGCTGTGAGACACAGAAGTATGGTAGGCTACTTCCTAAGTTTTCATTCCAACTGCTTTTTTAAAAAAAAATTGTTTGAAAATAGTTTATTCACAACATAGTTGGACAACTGCTCTAACATACAATAAGAGCATGATTTACTTTGGCTATTTTGTCCTCGTCTCACAGACTTACACGTCAGCAGCTTTTAGGCTATGGCAAGATCTGATGCAGTCATTCCCTAAGGAGACTTTTGCAATGGCATAAAAGGTGCAGGGAAAGAGGCAAGGTAAGAATGGCAAGCCTGGACTTGCTTCACAGATGAACACTGGAACTGTTCTGTGAGGGATGCAACAAGCCAACCGCCCCCAGGAAGTCAGAAGGTGTCTTTCAGGTTCAAGCGTGTATGAAGGCTCAAACTGGAGCATGTGAAAATGTGCAGCTCCCCAGCCCAGCAAACCTTTGCATGTTGACTGCACAAGTTCCTGATAAAGATGATTCTGAATGCAGCTCAATCCTCCTTGCAAAAGGAGGAGCAGGGGTGGCTAGGCTATGCCCCTCTGCCCAGTTTGAACACTTCTCACATGTTCTTTTAAATGCTTGAACAGGTCCGGAACTGTTCACAGGGTTTAGGGGAGCACATTGCTTTTGGCAATCAACTGATGTCATGCATATAATTTAGGTCAAGTTCTTCTGAAAGGCCTTGCTGCAATAACTATTGTACCTTCTGTCCGCACAGTGGCACCAGACAGAATGTTTGTGGCAAGATACCTGTTCATGACTTTCAGTCCATGGCAGTTCACTGGGTTGGGATAAAGGATTTCAGAGTCTGCTTCATCTGTAACTATGGTAATGGGTCCTGTACAAGACAAAAAACATTGAATGCACTTGCAATTCATGGTTTAAAGTTTTGGGCTGTTAAGAATTAATTCAAACACATCTTGTACTGATTTAAAATAGTTTATAATCCTAGGACAATCTCTTACCCATCTCAACCCTCATTTGTGCAAAGCTCATTAGGGAACTTCCCCTGCACTTGGGAGCATACAAGTCTATGCTCCCAATTACATTTGTGCTTCAAGCAAACATTAAATCATGCCTGCAAACTAATAAGGCAAGAGCCCACTGTGCTAAATGCTCAGCAAAGCACACTTATTAACACATGCCTTCAGATACTTGTTGGTGATATATTCTGCTCTTACACAGAACGACTTACACCACATGATTCTCTTACTTGTAAATTAATTTACACCACAGCATGCCATTATCTTAATCAAAGCAGTTTGTAACAGCCACCGTTGTAAACATTGGGGTTTACAAAACCAGAAGTAAGCGCAGCGTTCTTCCCTTCCTAATCATTTCCCAATAATCAGGTTTAACACAATAAGAGTTTCTGCAAGAAATAGTGGTTTATACACAAATGTTTTGGTAGCAGAACTTTGCAATTGACTTAATCCTAGTATCAAAACTTTTGAGATTTAACTTCTTTGTTCCATTCTTCTTCCTGGTCTCTGTGCAGCTCCACATATAAGTTTGGTGCCTGGTCAGAGAAGCATATGGAATCTTTGATTCCATATCTGTGGCCCTCTGGATGTGGTTGGGAACTCTAGCATGCATCCGCTCCAGCCAGCATGGGCAATGGCCAGGGACAGTGGGAGTTTTAGTCCAGCAACATCAAGAGGACCCAAGTTACCCATCTTTCTCTAAAGCTGGGCAACTAAAGATTCCGAATAGCGGCTCATTCCCAACCCTCAAGGTGCATGGCACAAGCAGTATGGCCATTGCCTTCCCATTTAAGTTTTGTTCTGGCTGCCAGTTTGTAGTATCATTTCGAACCTTCTCCTTAGGAACATAAGAAGAGCCTGCTGGATTAGCTAAGGGCCCACCTAGTCCACAATGGCTGACCAGTTGCCTATGGGAAACCCTCAGGCAGGACCTGAGTGCAACAGTGCTCTGACCACCTGTGATTCCAAGCAAATGGGACTAATAGCTGGGTCAGCCTTCCCCAATGTGCCCCCCCAATGTTTTGAACCACAACTCTGATCATGGGAGCTGGGAGGAAGATGGAACCAGCCAATTTCCTTTTCTGCCCCCCCTTTTCCTTCTCATTTTTTCTCCCTGCTTTGTCTCTTTTTTTGTTCTGAAAATTTTGCATTTATTTATTTCATTAATAATATACCACCCCATGCCCAGAGGTCTCAGGGTGGTTTACAGAATAAAGTCAAAATATAAAACCACAAAATACATAATCAAAATAAAGAACAACCACCCAATACCCCCCCCCAAAAGAACACATTTTAAAAGGGCATAGAATGCCAATCAAAGGCCTGGTTAAAAAGGAACGTTTTTGCCTGGTGTATAATGAAGGCGCCAGATGAACTTCCCTGGGGAGAACATTCCACAGACAGGGAGCCACTGCAGAGAAGGCCCGTTCTCGTGTTGCCACCCTCCGGACCTCTCAAGGAGGCGGCACATGAAGGAGAGTCTCAGAAGATGATCTGAGAGACTAGGTAGGTTCATATGGAAAGAGGCGGTCCTTGAGGTATTGTGGTCCTGAACTGTTTTAAGGCTTTATAGGTCAAAACCAGGACTTTGTATTGGAGCCAGAAACTAATTGGCAGGCCAGTGCAGTCAAGACTAGGATCGGTGTAATATGCTCAGACCGTCTTGCTCCAGTGATCAACCTGGCTGCTGAATTTTCCATCTCCTTCAGTTTTCAAGGGTAGTAGGGTGCAATGGGCAATGGGCATGATGCAAGTTGTGCTGACTATGGGGGTCAAGCTCTCTGCTGTATCAGAAACTTATGATTGATGTTTGCCCTGCCTGGGTAAAGGGAGGCATGTAGAGGATACCTGCATGCATTCACAAAGGTTTGTGAAGCAGGCATGCAGCAAGAAGTATACTTGTGGGAGCAGCAGGGGTCTGGGCCCTTCTGAGGCCAGCTCTGCAACATGCTACTAGCTCCTGGGCCAGATGCAGGTGCCACGGTGAGCTCACCTACTGAAAACATTCCCAAAATGATGCAGTGCATGAGCTGCACCCAATTGCATGACTGTATAAATAAAAGCCCACCAACACCACAAACCTTGCAAACTACATCCTCTACCCTAGGAGTTGCAGCAAGGGAGCCAACATAGCACTCCTTTTCTGAGTAGTCACCAGTTCCTTCTAAACGTGAAATTCCTCATTTAGAGTGCAAGTGTAGCCTATCAGAATCCACTAGGGCAGTGTTTCTCAGGCTCAGGTCCCCAGCTGTTGTTAGACTACAACTCCCATCATTCCTGGCCATTGGTCCTGCTAGATAGGGATGATGGGAGTTGTAGTCCAACAACAGCTGGGGACCCACGTCTGAGAAACACTGCACTAGGGTATGGCATAATAGACAGTGATAAACAGAAGAGCTAGAAAGAGAACAGTGGTGTAAAGGGCAATGATCTCTATTAGGAGAGAGACTCCAAGGCAGGACTGCGAACAGAGGAGCAAGGAGCTCCCCTTCATTGCTGACCTTCTTTCTGCTGTTGGAACAGCCCAGCTAGCAAACACCGCGTGGACTCCAGATTCCGAACAATGTTAGTGGAACGGACACTGAAAGACAGAAGGCAGCCAATGAAATGGGAGCACAGTGGGCTGCTCCCTGTACAAACTGACACGGGGTGGGACTTGAGGGGTTTCAGCACTCTGAGCCACCAATATGGCAGTACCAAGCGCTGCTATCTGTTCTAGCTGGAGATTCTTAACATCAAACTGAACACAGTGGTGTGAGGGAGAAAGCAAGCGAGGACTTTGGATGAAACTTTGCTAAGGCTTATGATGCCGTGTGGGCTGGGAGGGAGCGGAACAGTCAGCAGGAAGAGCAAGAAAGCTGTTAGGAAGGAAACTGGAGTGTTCAGAGACTCACAAGACCTCAGAAGGTTTGAATGCTGGCGAGAGGAAATGGGTCTCCTCAATGTAACGTCTCCTTAGCCGTTTCCCCAGTGCAAACGTCTGCTGCATTCCTACTTTCGTCAGCTGGCCTGCATTCACTCCGCCCTGGGAAGAGAAAAGCTCTGTTGAATGGCTGAAAAAATAAACGGAGATGCAACATTTCCTAAGGAATACATGTTGGGTCACCTTCAGCACTGTTTTTTTGTAGCTTTCTTCGAAAGGAGAATAAGGTCTTGGCCCACCAGCCAGGTTCGTTACTGTGTAGTCAAACTTTGTTTCGGCAGGCGTCTCCAAAAGAGCAGGGTCCCATGCCACCTGTTCCAAAAACAAGGATGAAGGAAAAGAAAAAGCATTTGAGTAGGCAACTGGGACCTTCAAGTAGCTAGAAGAGGTTGACAACCCACTACTGTGGAAAATCAAATTTATTTCAGTGGGCTTAGAGGCATGGCAAACTCTGCAAGCTTGGTGCTAAAACATCTCATTCAACGCTCAGGCTGTGCTGCTGCAAGAGGAGCAGGCAGTGACACATTTCACAATCTTCTTACTCCAGAATTTTGAAATATACAAAAACATCAATGTAGGCATACTTTCTGGGTGTGCCCATGCATACTCTAATGTCTTGAAAAAGAAAAAGTGGCTGCAGCCTCAGCAATGTTTTACAATGGCAGCAGGCAGCATTCCTACTCCCGTGTTTGGAGAAGCAGTCAGAGCATGGCAAGGCCTTCTTGGCTGGCTCTGCTTTGTGTGTGTAACAAGAGGAGGAGGAGGAGGAGCAGCAGCGAAAGCTTGTTCCTGTGTGTCATTCTTAGACTTCATGGAGGAGCAGGAGTGGGGTCAGCCTGGGAGGAGTTTTGGGTTTGCTTTGGGGATGACTCAGAAGCCATAATGCAAAGTAGTGACTATGGGACGGGGAGGGGCACAGATGGGCTTATGGACTGGAGTCTGTGTGCTCACCTGTGTCTCCATCCCTTCTTTTTACCCCCTCCCACTTCGCTCTCCCTTTGTTCAGCTTCATAAGAACTGTGTTTCAATTTAATTTACTGGGTAAGCACACCCTTAATGAAATGTGCTGCACATGCCTTATGGACACCAACATCAGGAAGTCTTGCGAAAATGGATCTCTGCAGAACTGCCAGGGCTAAAATACTATATTCAACTCTTTTGCTGGTTAAAAAGTCAACAGAGGATTGCTTGCAACTCTTTTAGTCAGGGTTACAAATACAGAGAACCAAGCCATGGTCCTTTGCTCAGTGCCTCAATTATAGCATCACCTATGGCAGGTGTTCCCACCCTGCTCAGCTGATTTGTGGAGGACAAGGCTATCAATGGCCACCAGCTATGGAGGCTATGTTCTACCTCCACTGTCCGAAACAAAATACCTCTGAAGACCAGTTATGTGTGATGAGAGCACTGTTGTACTCAGGTTCTGCTTATGGTACTCCCATGCACATCTGGCTGGCCACTGTGAGAACAGAGTGCTAGACTAGATGGGCTTCATCCAGCAGGGCTCTTACGTTATTAAACAGCTGGTCCTTAGAGCAGTGTTTCCCAACCTTGTGCCTCCAGCTGTTTTTGGACTACAATTCCCATCATCCCTTGCCACTGGTCTTGCTAGTCAGGGATGATGGGAGTTGTAGTTCAAAAACAGCTGGAGGCACAAGGTTGGGAAACACTGCCTTAGAGGAAAAGCTGGTAGGCTGGGTGGGAGGCTCCCAATCCTTGCCCTATTCCAAACACTTGCCTTTGGAAACACTGCAACACAGAAAATACATATGAGGCTTGCACATATCTGGAATGTTTAAAATATCAGGGTTTCTCTGTATTCATCCTAAGAAGCATATCTTGCCATCCATAGTTCTTGGCCACTTCCCCAGAAATTCCACTTTGAAGTGTATGAGTTTAGGAACTTTAAAAAGAGCAATCTCAATTTCTTCACAACTGCACTTCCTACTGATCTAGGTGGTAAATCTGCCAAATCTGTTCATCACCAGAAGTTATCACAAGTTGCTAGGTAGAGCCAAGAGAGGAACATGGTGCATAAGGAAAAATAAACACAACCATTAATTCTATTCCTGCTACAAAATCAAGAGGAAATGCAGGTGTTGGGTAAGTAGTTCATAAACTGGGTAAGTAGAAGTTGCAATGCCTTCTCTCATCACCTGTTTATGAAAGACAGTGACACAAACTTTGATCTGGTTGAAGCAGAGTGAAAAATTTCCAAATCTGACTATACAGCCGCTCTGAGCCTGGCTTTGGCTGGGGAGGGCGGGCGGGATATAAATTATTATTATTATTACTATTATTATTATTACAGGCTGATTGATGTTCACTGCTATCCTGCACTAATGCAAATGCATGTTTATGCATGCATCTCCTGAAGTTAAAAGGGCAAGAGGCAAGCACCCCAATCAAATTATTTATAGTACTTGGTTAGTTAGCCTATGGGTTGGTAACATTCAAGATAGGAGGAGATGCACAAAACAAGGCTAGAGAATTAGCACTATAAATGAGTCACTATTCTTACTCATCAATAGGCACATAACATACATGGCCAGTGGTCAGGGATGATGATGGGAATTGTTGTCCAGCAATTTCTGCAGGACTGCACACTCCCCATCTCTGGCATACAGTTGCATTTACACCTTGCAGCGCTCACAATTTGGGGCTGCAGCACCCAGCTGGTAATGAAGGAAGCATCTCATTGTTGACAGGCAGCAGAGCAGCCCAAGCTAGCACACCCCACCAGTATGAATGGCAGGCATTAAGCAAGTGACCACAATAGAGTTGACCTCACATGGAGCTCACTCCCTTAGCTCTGCGGCAGCCCACATTTTAACATAATTCCCACGTTTGTTTCCATGTTCTCTATGCCAAGGCACTCTGGGACAAATATCCACTTTATCAGATTGTGGGTTGGCGGTATAGAGGTGTCTTATTGCTGTACCTTCTGTACTTTGGCCTGCGTTCTGCTTGGTGGCTACTGGCACTGAGCAAAGCCAAATTTTCCACCTATGTTTCCTTCACCTGCTGCCTCGTGAAAATGCCCACACTGACAGCCCTGAGCTAGTAAGCTCAGCAACCTCTGCTGCTCCTCGGACCACTTACGCTTCCTCCAACCTGCTCCTGATGTGCCAAATGGCTTTTTAGGTCAGCTGGGGGGAAATGCAGCACCTTCTTTAGGAATTGATTGCTGTTAGCACCAGGAATTTCCAAGCCCAGGGCATCATCGGCTCCACTAGTATTTCTGCATGAACATGCCTGATAATTATTTGGCAAGCTGCTGCTTTTCATGCCAATTTACAGCACTGGGTTATAAATACATTTTTTAAAATCACGGGTGCATAATACCTGGTAGGGTTGTTACAAAGATTAGTGAGACAATTTAGCAGAGATACTTTTAACACTTAAGGACACAATATTAACATGTTCTTTTAACCCCCCCTTTTTTTACCACTATCACAACCAGGCACCCCTAACTAGATGTTTCCCCCAGTTTGATCTTGGCTGAGGCTTGCCTGTGTTGCCCAGATCCAGGGGCAGCATCAGAGGGGGCGGTACCAGGGGGCTCCACTCAAAGCCCCCCCTTGCTGAGCCTCCTGGCCCTGCTGGACCTCCTTTTGTCATTGCCCACCTGCCCTCTTAGGAACAGGAAAGTTGCAAAGCATCAGCTGTGCATGCAGGAAGTCCCAAGTTCAACCCTGGGCGTTTCCAGGTAGGACTGGGGAAAGCTCCTGCCTGAAGCATAGCCAGTGTGGACGAGGGATCAGCGATCTGACTCTGTAGATCTTCCTAGCCAGCAAACAGCGAGGAGAGCAAAAGGGACCCTCACCTTGTGCTTCCCACTTGGGTGGTTGTGTGGATGGGTGTGTGTGTGCGCACGCATGCAAGTGAACAGACAGTGGGTGTGTGGGTGTGCTGGGGTGCTGTCTTGAATAAAATATGGGGGCAGGTGACCCCCAACCCCATATAATTGATCACAAGGCACTGCAGGCACACATACTATTTGAATCACAATGCCCATCAGCTCGGGGGGCAGCCACCTCAAATATTTTATTGGGGGGGGTCAAATAATATTTTACTTACCTAGGAGTTGGCACCTATGGTGGGGGGCAAGAAGCTAAGAGGGGTCGAACCAACCCAGGGAGGGGTATATTGCTGAATGTCGCCCCCCCCATGGCCCTTGTTTTTGGGGAGGGCCAGAGGGAAAGGGAAGAGGCATGTATGCATTGACTGCATCATTTCTGCCTGGGGTTCAAGGCGGCATAGATGGTTTCCCCTCTCCCCATTTCATCCCGACGACGACCCTGGGAGGCAGGTTCGGCTGGACGGCAGACACTGCCTGGCCCAAGGTGACCCGCTGGTGGCCGAGCGGGACGGCGAGCCCTGCTCTGCCAGCTCCATCCCTCTCCTTCCACCCCGGGCGGCGGGCCCCCTCACCTGCTCCACATCGGGGATGGGTCTCAGCGGAGTGCGGGCGCCGTGCCGGAAAAGAACCTGCACCAGCTTGAGCTCCAGCGGGTCGTCGCCGTCGCCGCTTCCGCGCGGCGCTTTGCTCCTCCTGGGCTCGGCCAGGGCTCTCCTCTTGCTCGCTACGCAGTACGCCAGGGTGCCCAAGATGCCCACGCGAGCCCACAAACTCATGCTGACGGGGCGAGGCAGGTGGCGCGGGACCCTCGCAGCGAGTCCGAGAGCGGAGCAGCTCGCCGCTTGCGCAGCTGCCGGCAGAGTTGCGAAAGCAAAAGTTGCTGCTGCTGCTGTTGCCTCACGGGAAACCCGCCTTCCTCTTCCAGCGCTGGCGCGAGGAAACGCCGAGGCTCGCGGAACAGAGACCTCCTCCCTCCTCCCCCTTTTCAGCAACGCCGCCCGGGTGCAGCTGCTCGCCGGCAGGAGATTCGGCGCCACCCCCAGGAGGACCCTGGGAAATGCGGTTTCTTCAGCCGGGCGCCTGCCCCGACCAGGAGCCACCAGAAGACTACATCTCCCAGCGGGCGTCGGGGCGCTCTTTCCCAGCCGGTCACGTGTATGGCGTGGGAGTTCCCACGGCCGGGCTTGTGAGCATGTTTCAGCCGGCGAAGTGGGAGGACAGCTTTGCCTGCGGGCTTAATCCGCCCTCTGGTTGGTCTCTGCAGCAAACAGGAGAGGCAGTGGGATCTGAGAGATGTCTCGCTTCTCTCCCCAGGACCATTCAATGAACCCATATGGAAGATCTTGCTGTACTCGTCTTATTTATGCTCTCCCATCTTGCTGGGTTTTGCAGTGTGTCCAGTTTTCAAACTATTAGTGAATGCGTAGGGCACTTTATTCTGCTTTGTCCAGTTAGCTGCCATTCCTTGTCTCTGGGATGTTCTGAACACTTTCAGCCGAATCCCACGTATGTAAGTCCAAATTTGTTCAGTGGAATTTACTTGCATAAACCTTTTCCCCATGATGGGGAGGGGGAGGAAATGCATACTGGATTCGCAAAACATTTGTACGTGCTTTTCATAAATATAGATTTATAAAGAATTTCTTTAAATAGGAAAACAGGACATTTCACCACAGTGTGGAAGACCATGATCAACCAGCTGTGCAGGTGCTAACTGTTGATGAGCAACTTCCAAAGTCCCTGCTTTCCATTCTTAAGGTTATTGTGCAGATCCAAACTGACTTGTTCTCAGTGGCTCCAACTGAGATGTATGGGTCAACCTGTATGGGATGCCACTGAGAGGGTGGTGAGTCGTAGGACCTATTCCAGATGCTGGGATCACCAGAGGCAAGAGTTTCTGCAATATACATGCCTGCCCATCATAATATGAGCATTTCACCCATAAAGGAACAATGCTGGCTTCTCATTTGATTATACTGGCATAGGCACACACACCTGGCGGATACAGTATACTTCTGAATACCAGTTGCTGGAAACCACAGGAGATGAGAGTGCTGCTGTGCTCAGATCCTGCTTGTGGGCTTCCCATAGGCATCTGGTTGGCCTGATCCAGAAGGCCTCTTCTTCTGTTCTTCTGCATGCATTCAGCATGATCTAAGCTCTTGTCAAGTCAGAGGAATGTGTCGGTACAACCATTCATACTCACACACCATATATATTGCTCCATGACACTCTGACTTGCCAGGGGCTTTTCACGAATCACTGGGTGAGTGGCATGGCATGGGTGTGGGCAGGGTGGCCCAAGGCATTTTGCCACCTAGGGCAAAAATGCTCCACTCCCCTGCGCTGCAGTCAGCAAACTCAGTAAGGATTGTCAAGAAGAAAGTAATCTTGGCAGGAGCGGAAGTGTTCCGCAGAGCTTTGCTGCCAGTCCCTCTCTCTTCTTAGAGGCCAGGGAGACCAGTGGTAAATCTGGGTCACGGAACTGGGGTGTCATGCTTTGAGGGATGCTGCCTGAGGCAGCTGCCTCATGGGGCGGGCAAGGCTCTGAGTGGGGACTTACCAAACCAGACTACTGCTCTCCTCTCAGTCCTTTTTGGAAGGGACAGAGGATAGGAACTAACTGTGATGGCCTGGGACTTGGGCTCGGACTTGGAACCAGAGGAGTCTCAGTCCGCACTGGATCCTTTGCCTCAGGCAGCATCTGAACCAAGTCTGGGGCCTGATTCTGAAGAGCCCCAGTCTGCACAGGTTCCCCCGCAACAAACATCAGCTGGGCCGAGTCAGGGGCCTGAGCCTGCCCTGGCTCCAGATTACCTCGTTGCCTTCAGCCGGGCAATCACTTACAGCTGCTTCACTACCAGTTGGGTCAAGAGAGGCTGAGGCGGCCTCTGGGTCTAGTAACCCACCAACATCTCCCGAGCTGCAGAGACTAAGGTCTGAGAGAAGGAGAGACCTGAGTACTTGCAGGAGGAGTGCTCGCCTTCAGGCGAGACAGGGAGGTGAGTCACTGGGGGATCAGGACCGGCCGTTACCCTGACAAAGATAAAAGGCTGTTGGACCCCGCCCCAGGTTGCAGGAGCAACATAGCTGTTTGCCAGAACCTGCCTTAAACCCTTTGCCTGACCTTGCCTGGTTTCCTGCCTTGGGCCTGTCGGACTGACTCCTTGCAGAACCCTTGGATACGGGACCGGACCTGGACCATGTTGCTCGGGTTACCCCCAGGCCCAGCACACTAACCCAAGTTGAAAGCTGCTGCCTGGCTTTATTTATTTATTGCATTTATATATCTCAGTTTTCCTCCAAGGAGCTCAAGGATATGTTCATAGTTCTCTTCCCCATTTTACCCTCACAAAATTCCTGTGCAGTGGATTTGGTTGAGAGTGAGTGGTTGGCCCAAGGTCATCCAGTGAACTCCATGGCCAAGCGGGGATTTGAACTCTGATATTCCAGATCCAAATCCAACACTCTAACCACTAAACCACACTGCAGAAAGCTTTTAACTTAGCTGGTCCTGTCACTGTGCAGAGGACATTCCCCGCAAACCAGAGGCTTTTGGGATGTATTTTCACTTTATGCATTCTGTGCCTTTATCCATTCTCTCGCCTTCCCCCCAAAGCCCTGCTGCTGGTGTCGAGGAAAGGAGGAGGTAAGAGAAGCAGTAGTATCTAATATGAAATTATAATGTGGGTTTGCATAAAGTGTTCAAAATCTTTTTGTCCACTAGAGAGCAATAGTGGGATTTGGAAATGGATTGTACTGCTCAATAAAAACCCTTCTGTTGGGTAGAAACCAAGAGTGGAAAGCAGTTCCTTCTCCTTTTAAGTGGTAGAAAACAAAGCAAGATTTCCCATCCAACCAAGCTGGGTATTTCAAGGTCTCTTCATTTAAGCAGTAGGCAAACTCTGCACTGTAACAAAATGTTCCTGGGTTTAAACCGAATGCCCCAGAGAGAGGGGTGGGGGAAGAGGGTGTCATTGGGAAAGAAGTAGATAAGGAAAGTAATCTTCCTTCTTGACAACAGGCAATCATAAAAAATATTTAACAGCTCACAGTTCCTTGTAAATAATATTTTATCAATGCAAAGCAGTTCCACTCCCGGGTTCCCTTCAAAACCTGTACATGGGAATGAGGGAAAATGAGTGATGGTAGATAGCTACCAGGCAGTGGGAGGGTGCTAATAATTTGGCACATTGTAGTGGCAATAGACCTATAAGCAGTCAGAGGTGCATATGGGGACCAAGTATGAAAAGTGTGTGTGTGTGTGTGTGTGTGTGTGTGTGTGTGAGAGAGAGAGAGAGAGAGAGAGAGAGAGAAATTGATCTAGTTGATGATGGGAAAGCAGTGCAGAGAGTGTGTGCACACATTCTGAACTAGGCAAGTTTCTCAGATAGTGTGTGTATGTGGAGAAGATCCAGCATTTAATCGGAAGAGGTGCACAGTTTCACAAATATTGCCTTGAATGGGTCAGTATAATTGGTAAAAAACATTTATAAGCCCTATGGCACTTTAATTGTGAACCGTTTTATTGTGACTTCAGTACAGGCTGAGCATTTCCACCTGCTCGGCTCCATTAAGAAGCTGTTCTATAGGCAGTTGCCTTCAGGTGCCTGCCAAAGGTATTATGCCAAAAGGAAAGTAACTGGGGAGCCCTCCAGACCGTTCTTTTATCGCGGATGTTTCTGCAACATGTTCTTGACACAATAATACTGTATTAGTGGTGGATTTAGTCTTCTTTAGGTTGTTCTGCAATGCTTCCCCAGTGCTGCTACATTATTTCTACCTGGAGGGGATATAGTGCAACAAAAGTGAGACAAAAATGAAATGGGGTAGTTGTGATATAAAAACTTACAGATTTCAGCAGCAAGTTAAATGAATATGGACTGATCAGAAACGTAGCAATGTGACCATCCCGAAACTTTGGCAGATTAAGACAGTATTGAAAGTGGGATCACAAATCATCATGAATGTCCAATAACAAGGGTGCCCAGAAGGGGTCATTGGTACTTCTTCAATGGTTACCCATCCAGGCACTGACCAGAGCCAGGCCTTCTTCAGCAAGAGTGTTGGCCTCATGTACCTTCAGACCTGGGAAATTTGTAAGTGAATGAACTATTACAAAGACACCTCAAAATTCCATTGTTTCTCATCCATTTCTCAGGTAGCTGGGGAAGATTACATAACAATATAGGCGTCTCCCCACTTACACTCGTGTGACTTGCGCATGGCGCCGTATACATGTGGCACTGGGAAATAATTAAATAAATCAATTTAAACTGCAAAAAGGTGAGGACTGTGGGGAAATGGCTTGAAAAGAGTGAGAAAACTGAAAAAAATGGCCTGAAAAGAGTGGGGAAACATCTAGTAATCCAAAACATTTTGGGGTACCAGTCTACTTGTCTACTTCTGAATCACAGCCAGGCACTTTGAGGTAGCGATCTACCCCATTTGTTGTTGTTTACACATTGTCCTTAAGTGACGAGGAAGACTGAGAGTCACCATTCTTGATAGTCTGGCAAATGCTGCTGGTTTTTTAAAAGGGGGTTTCAAGGTTTTACAGGCTTTTTCTGTGGTGTTCCCCACTATATGCCATTTCACATATATGCCTGGTATCCAAGAACGTAACCCCCATGCCTGTATGTTCAATCTTAAGCATTTATTTGCTGTCATAAGTTTGTTCTAATGTGTAATGGTGTTGAAAAGCCTTCAGTCATTATAAAGGTTTGAAAGGTAGTAGACTCCCGCTGCTGCTACACCCGATAAGCAATTGATGTAAATAAAGTTTGGTACTCCTATGTGGACCATGTTTCTCATCCCCTTCTGAACTGCTTTCTGTTTCCATTGTCATCCAACTACTGGACATGAGTGGGGATCCAGCAATGGATAGAGAGGGCTTTAGCCTTGTCTTAGGGATCATGGTATGCACATTCAAGACATTGCTGGTCTTCCCAGCTGTTGCATGTGTGTTATTTTCAGAAGCTCAGTAATCCCTGGGGGGGTCATTGGTGGAATTGTGTGAATATGCCGGGTAGCTGA